CAGTACGTTGTGACCCGAGCAGAGGGCCGCTGTGGTGTGTGTGTGTGGGGACTTGCTTATTCGACCAGATCGCCATTGAGAGCCTACTATACAATAATATTGGGCAGTATCTTGTTATCCTGTTTATGTGTATAGTATATGTAATTTGTATGCTGATAGTTCTGTTTTTCTTATAATTAAATATTTATTTGTGGGCTGAACCACTCTTGTGTTATTAGTATAGTTTAAGTATTAATAGACTTGCAAGTGAGAGCTAGTGAGAGTTTTCTTTGAATGATAGAGTGAGTGTGAAGTAGGATTAGTGTAGAATACTTCATCAGGAAATTAATCGTACCCTAGACATAACCATACTAGCAGTACTAATCTAACGTAGAGGAAAGGGACCTTTGTTTGTTAATACAAACATTAAACATTTCAAACCCAATACTTTTAATAATTGGGTCAGTACATTTAATTACAACACATCATAGTTTTGTAACACAAAGTTTTGTAACAACCATTAAGACGCTGTCAGGGAAATTTAGCAAGGTAGAGAGACCAGTGAAGGACAAAATGGGAAACACCATACCAAGTGAGGAGCAACAGAGAGGGAGATGGAAGGAACACTTTGAATAGCTCCTGAACAGGCCTGAACCAAGAAATCCACCAGATATCCAACCAGCCGATAATGACCTGCTAATTGACTGTAATAGTCCCACCAAAGAAGAGATTAGCAGGGCCATTAAACAACTCAGAAATGGAAAGGCTGCGGGACCTGATGGCATCCCAGCAGAGGCACTGAAGGCGGACCTGGAAACCAGTGTGGAAATGCTACACCCTCTGTTTATGAAGATATGGGAAGAGGAGCAAGTTCCTTCCGATTGGAAAGAGGGATACCTTATCAAGATCCCAAAGAAGGGAGACTTAAGCTCCTGCTCGAACTACAGAGGGATCACCCTGCTGTCCATCCCAGGAAAGGTTTTCAACCGTGTACTACTTAACAGGATGAAAAACGCTGTTGACCCTCTGTTGCGGGACGAACAAGCCGGCTTTCGCACCAACAGATCCTGCACGGACCAGATAGCGACACTGCGCATCATTCTAGAGCAGTCACTAGAGTGGAACTCGCCGCTCTATGTCAACTTTGTTGACTATGAAAAAGCCTTCGACAGTGTTGACAGGCAAACCCTGTGGAGATTGCTAAGGCATTACGGGGTGCCATAGAAGATTACTGATATAATCAGAAACATGTACGAAGGGATAAACTGCCGAGTTATCCATGGCCAGCAGTTGACAGATGCTTTCCAGGTGAAGACTGGTGTGAGACAAGGTTGCTTGCTGTCACCATTCCTCTTCCTGTTAGCCATTGACTGGGTGATGAAAACATCTACACAGCAGAAAAGAAATGGCATCCAATGGACCTTGTGGGATCAACTGGATGATCTTGACTTTGCTGATGATCTTGCACTTCTTGCACATACCCAACAACAGATGCAGGAGAAAACAAACATTGTCGCAGCCACTTCTGCTAGCATGGGTCTCAACATCCACAAAGGGAAGAGTAAAATCCTCAAGGTTAATGCCACCAGTACATCACCCATTATGCTTGAAGGAGAAGCCCTTGAGGAGGTGGACAGTTTTGTTTACCTTGGCAGCATGGTAGATAAACAAGGTGGTACAGATGCGGACGTCAAAATAAGGATTGGAAAAGCAAGAGCAGCCTTCCAACAACTCAAGAATGTTTGGGTCTCTAACAACTTAGGCAGCAAGTTAAAAGTAAGGATTTTTAACGCTATGGTAAAACCTGTGCTGCTATATGGAGCCGAGACATGGAGAACAACGGCCGTAAACCTGACCAGAATCCAGTCCTTCATCAACAACTGTCTAAGAAGGATTCTCAGAATTCACTGGCCAGACAAAATCAGCAACCAGGAACTGTGGCAGCGGACAAAACAGAAACCCATTGAGGAAGAGATTCTCCAGAAGCGGTGGAGGTGGATTGGTCATACACTAAGAAAACCTGCTTCTAACATAACAAAGCAAGCCCTGAAATGGAACCCACAGGGTAAGCGGAAAAGAGGCCGTCCAAGAAACACTTGGCGCCGAGAATTGGAGACAGACATCAAGAAAATTGGCCATGAATGGAAGATCCTGGAGAAGCTGGCCCAGGATAGAGATGCCTGTAGGTCTCTCGTAGGTGGCCTATGCCCTTGGAGGAACCGCAGACGCCAACGATGATCGGTGGATGCCCCTCATGGACGAGAAGGCTCAACAACAACATTGGTATAGCCTAGCGTCCATGTTTCACGGGCATAGGGAAGCGTAGGGAGAACAGCCCCTTAATATACTTTCAGTTTAGTTTGAGTGCTTATACTTCTCCTGGTCCACACGTTCTCAGTCAATTTTACATAGGTTGCCCTGGCTCTCGCAATACGGAGGTTAGCCTCGTCATGGATGTTTGCGCTTTGGGGCAGTGTGCTGCCAAGATAAGAAAAGCTATTCACTACCTTAAATTTTTCGCCACATGCTTTGATTTTGGGCTCAACATAAGGTCTTCGAGGAGCTGGTTGGTATAGGATCCCAGCCTTTTTGTGTTAATGGTGAGCCCTAAGTTTGTGCAAGCATTAGAAAAGTTTGTGATACAGCGTTGCATATCCACTTCTGATACAGCGTTTATGGCAAAGTCGTCTGCATACAGGAGGTCCCTGATGGTGTCTGTCAGGACCTTCGTTTTGGCATGTAGTCTCTTAGGGTTGAATAGATTACAGTCAGTTCGGCACCTGAGACCAATGCCAGCATCTCCATCTCTGAAGGCATCGGTCAGCATTGCGGAAAACATGATGCTGAAAAGTGTTGGGGCAAGTACACAGCCTTAGTTCACGCCGTTTGTTACAGGGAATGGTTTTGACGTCTCTCCATTATCCCGGACTCTAGCCCTCATACCATCATGGAATAGTCGTACCATTGACACGAACTTCCTGGGGCATCCATATTTGCCCATGATCTTACAAAGGTTCTCTACTGATAGTGTCGAAAGCTTTGTTCAGGTCTACAAAGGCAGAGAAGAGGTCAAAATTTTGTTCCCTGCATTTTTCCTATAGCTGTCTGGCCACAAACATCATATCAATTTATTCCTCGTTCATTCTGGAAGCCACATTGACTTGCTGTCAGTAGACCCTTCTCAAGGTGCCTGTTAAGACGATTTAGCAAGATTATGACTAATATCTTGCTTGCAATCGAGAGCAGTGATATGTCACATTGGTTGCCGCATGATTGACGGTTCCCTTTACGCTTGAATAGTTGAACATTAGATGCATCTTTGAAGTCCTGTGGAATTGTCTCTTGCTGCCACATAAGTATGAACTGCTGGTGAAACCTTTCAGACAGAGCTGCCCCCCCCCCCTTCTTTGTATACTTCAGATGGGATTGAGTCATCACCTGGTGCTTTTCAGCTTGACAGAGGATAACACCACAAAAGAATAGAGAGGAGAACACCACAGAAGAAAAAAATATCATAAATATAATGTATAAAGAGCTGCCTGGGCGGACCTCCCTAGCCGCCCCTTTCTACGCTGGTTGTTATAGACTTTTATATATATGTATGTATGTATTTTTAAATATTTTGTCGACGCTGATGTTGGCAGGTGTTGCAACGCCCCCCTTTCCCCCTCCCCACACTTTCCTTTAATTAATAAGGCCAGTATCTGTGAAAGCATGAATAACGACACAAGTCCATCCTAATAGACAATGCTACAGGAAACACGCCCCTTATACAAAACGGAAGTCTCAAACAAAATAATGGATCTCTACCACAAATTAAGAGACTAACTGGCTACAGTGCCAACAAGCTTTAATATTTTAAAATGAAGTTATTTTGTATGTTCACTGTCACAAGCAGCATTAAAAAAACACGGACTTAATCATGGATATAAAATTATCATATAAACAATAAATTGCACCATGTGTGCTGCTGTTAACTCATCACCTTCTTCTCCATCGACACTGCGAACCCAGCAAATTACGACTTCAAATAATACACCAAGCACAAATAGCAGGTCCAAAGATAAATCGTATGACTATCTTCTCAAGTTTCTCCTGGTTGGTGATAGTGATGTTGGTAAAGAAGAATTACTTTCAGGGATGGATGATGGTGCATCAGAATCCCCTTATGGCTATGCTAGCAGTGGTAAGATTTTCTTTTCACTTTTCTTTTTTTTTTAATAAAGATTACCTAGTACTAGTAATATTATATATTACTATAGACACTAACAGTATAAGGTAAATGCAGATATTGGGTGCCATTCCATATCACACAGCCGCCATGTTGGTTGCAACGACCCGTGAACTTTAACAGGTTTACAGGTCATAGCCATGGCAACCAATATTGTGGCAGTGTAAAAATAAGATAACTAGACTAAGGTCTGCTAAAATTAGGAATAAAATGTTAAAATTTAATGAAAAAATGTCCACTGGCACATAAATTTCGTGATAAACGTAGCTACTTTATTGTATCCATCTAGATATGTGGCAAGAAGCATCAGTGACGTGCGGTCGTTCCCTTTCCTCATGTAATTTCAGCCGGTACACCCACATCCTCATGTCCCCTAGTCCTTGGACCGTTGGGGCGCCACAGGTGACATGTGAACCATCCTCCTCCATTCCTCTCTGTCTTCAGCACTACGCACTGCATCGCCCAGTGTTAGTCCTGTCCACTCTTTGAAGTTATCCTCCCATCTTTTTCTTTGTCTTTCTCTTCTTCTCCCTCCTTTTGTGGTGCCCTATAATATTTCTTGGCAAGCCCTTGTTACGTGGCCGTACCATTGTAGTTTGCGTTTTTTCACAGTCACCAGTAGGTCATCGTACTCCCCAATTGCCTGACGAACCCTTTCTTTCACTGTATCATTGGAGATATGTTCCCTATAGCAGATGCCAAAAATGCTTCTGAAGCATCTCATCTCCATCGCCTTTATTTTCTTTTCAAGGTCGGCTGTTAATTTCCAGGATTCGCAGGCATATAGGAAAATGGAGAGGACTAATGAGCGCATCAGCCTGATTTTGGTCCAAGGCCAAGGGGTTATATTTTTGTCATTCCATATTTTCTTGAGCCTCATTAGTGCTGTTGTAGTCTGCGCAATCCTGGACATCAGTTCGGGCTTGGAGCCTTCTTCTGAGACTATTGCTCCTAGGTATTTGAAGCTGTCGACAGTCTCTAATCTATCCTCCCCGACCTTAATTTCAGTGGTGATGCCTGTATTATTTGTAATCAGTTTTGTCTTTTCGGCACTGATTAGCTTGCTGTAGGACGACGAGGTCTTATCGAGGCGCTTTACCAGGTTGGCTAGCTCTTCTTCGTTCCCAGCTAGTCCCTATGTCGTCCGCAAATTCACTGTCACTAATTTAGTAAACCTAACATGAACTTTAAATCTATCCCAAACCTAACCTGAACCTTTAAACTAGCCCTACAACGTCAAGTAAAAAAAATGTGTGCGACTGCAGTTAAACTTACACGCTGTGGCTAGAAAACTATAAAAATTAAGAAAAACAATAAAATAAAAATAATTGCAAAATAAATAAATAAATAATGAAAACCCTACTTACAGTTTCATAGAATACACTTTTACACATTTTATTTCGGGTTCCACCAAAAATAATATCCAAAATTTGTCAGAAAATCAATCAAATACTATAAAAATCGGTTTTTAAATATGGCAGAAAGTGTAATGAATATGCAAATGTGACAACTATTTTATTATGAGGGTGTAGCTGTTGGATGACAATTTATTCATTTTTTTTGTGGGGGGTGGGAATATACTACAATTAATTAATCCGGATCAACGCTCCCATCGTCGATTTGAAATTAAAATTGTGGCGTATCGACGATTGAATAGTCGATGTATAAAAACCTGTTTATTTCAGTTCTTTTCTTAGCTATTGGTATTTAGTTATTTTAAATCAATTTTAGAATGATTTTCCTTTGTATATACATCAGGTTTTTCTGTTTGAACGAAGAACAAATTTTTTGAAGCTGTTTTTTTGATTGTCCATTTTATTTTTGTTTACAAACATGAAATCTTGACCTGACCCATCTGGTGATCGATCTAATAAAGGTGGAAAATATTACTCTGATGATGATTCAGACAGTGATTTTATGATTTCAGGCTGATTCTGTTGAATCGTATGATTATAATCCTAGTATTAGTGGTACTAGTGACAAAATAATGAAATTGGTAATTCATCAGCTGATGAACAACCAGCCCCGCCCCCAGCTAAAGGGCACATCCATATGGATTGTTTTTTAGGCTTACCCAGATGGAAATATGTGAAAAATGTATGGTAAATTTTCCATTTACCATTATAAATGTTAGTACATACAAAGATACAGTGCAATTATATTCTAAATAGCAATAGATTGTTTCCAGTGGACGTGGAATGAGTGAAATTTTTTTTCAAATTTTTTGTGTGGCGGTGATAATGGATAATGTGCTCTGAGGTTTAATTTTTTCTTTCTTGAAAGTTGATCTTTATTATTTGTGATGCACATATGGATATACTTCAGGTAAAAAACATTTTTTTTACACTTTGGATTATATATTTCTCTTTGTGTGACTTGGAATGAGCGTTTTGTGAACATTTGGTAAGTTTTTAAAAATAAATTTTTATTTTCCTTAAATCACATTTATTTATTAAAATTTAAACCCAAGTCTTGTTTGCTTGCAAAGAGCATGCATTTCCCTTTAATTCCATACCAATATTAACATTTTCTGATTTAAAAAAAAAAAGTTATGAAGGTTTAGAGACAACATATCCTGTAGCTATAAAAAAATTTTATGCACAAATATTGATAATTATTTCATTGACTATGTGATATTATTTTATCCTTAAAATTTGAGAGCTTTACTTTAAGAATAAAGCCAGGCTTTAAGCACAACAATTAATAACAAAACAGGTGTAACCTATTACTATTACTAATTACTCTGGTTCCCTGATTATTTGTTATGTATTTTTATGTATATGGATTTTGAATATAAATGTCTATTATTAAAATTATGGGTAATTTATTATACTATTTCATAATCACAAACTACAACATGCCAATGGAGTAAGTGGCAACGAAAATCAATACAATGATCTGGTGAATATACAAAAGCAAATGCTTCTGCTTCTCTGGCTCCTAAACGTTGAAATTTGCGACCAGACTGAGAAATAGCCCTCTTGATTGTAACAATAAAAGCTAACTCAAATGGGGGCAGTTATTCTTAATCCACCATTGACATGGCTGGATGTATGTCATGGATGAGGTTAACACTTGCATCCAAATGCCTATACAGTTGTTGAAGGGTAAAGCAGCTTCTGGGGAAAATTTACACATCTTAAATATGTCACAGTAGGCAATGTTTTATTCTTTTTGAAAGTATTACCCTCATGGGTAAAAAGAGAATTTTTAAAATTGGACCTTTTAATAAATATAAATATTTATAAATGCAATTTTGGAAGACATTATCTAGGGCCTCAGAAACTATTTGGCAACACATGGTTCTATGAAGAAATAGATACAGGACTTGTTTAATACTAATTTATATTGCCTTGGGCTTCAAAAATATTTTCTTAGCAGATATAACTTATAAAATTTGCTCATCACTGTAAAAGTTTGCCAACCAATCATCTAAGAGAATGCAGATTTATACAATTTTGATTTTTTAAATAGAATTCTAGACTTTTATGTAATCTCTCTTTTTTCAGGTATTGATTACAAGACCACAACTATTCTGCTAGATGGAAAACGTGTAAAATTACAGCTCTGGTATGGACATTTTTGAGTTGCCATGTTTTCAGATAATTCAATCAACACTAAATTTATGTTTATAAACACAATATCCATTGTAGTAAATGTCAGTAAAGATTGTAGTAAAAATTGTATATTTTAAAAAAAAGATAACTTTTTAAAGAGGGTATAAGCCATGCAAAAAATTATTGTTTATTATTTTGTTTTTGCATGCAGAATTCTTTAATCAGCATGCTTAAGATTGTATCAATATCTTTATTAGGGTCACATCTGGACAAGGGCGTTTCTGTACAATATTAAGATCTTACTCTCGAGGTGCTCAGGTAATCTGTAGATTTATCTTTCCTTTTTTTTTTTTTTTTTTTTTTTTTTTTTTTTTTTTTTTTTTTTTTTTTTTTTTTTTTTTTTTTACATGTTTACAAAGTAATTAGTAGAATTAGAGCTCTTTATGCACTGAAAATGAAGCATAAAAATTAAAAAGAATTGAAGTCGGAGCTACCCGACCGGAAACTCTTATGCCCCCCCCTCCCCAGCCTCAATTCGCAGAATATCTCCTCCTTTTACAGAGGGGAGATGTCATGAACAAGCTCCCTGGGATGTATCGCCCTTGTGGTGAATTATCCAGTCACCCCAGTTTTACATTAAAGAGATTATATTCTATCATATTTCACTAATAGATTGTTTTAATAATAATAGAATTAATGTAGTTTGACTCAATTGAGTGCCTTAAAAAATATTGTGGCAGTAATTATTTATAAGTGACTAGCAAAAGAAAAGTGAACCGTCTATAAGTTTTAAAACTCACAATTTCTTTTAATGTTAATTAATTGTAACACACCCTACCCCCTACCCCAATACACTCAGCCTCCCCCTCAACATACACACCATACAAAATATTTAAAATGATTAACATTCATCTTTGTATAAATCTTTATTTAGGGCATATTACTTGTTTATGACATCACAAACAAATGGTCTTTTGATGGCATCGACAGGTGGATTAAAGAGATTGATGAGGTATGCTGTTGTTATTTTATGACTTGTACGTCCTTATATCCACAATCTATCCTTATATCCACAATCTATTCTTATTTGTTTAATCCTCCACACCCCCTTGCTTTAAAAAAATTATTTATCTGTTTTCTCCCTTAAATTTTATAATGTTATTTTCTACGGCAGCATGCACCCGGTGTTCCCAAGATTTTGGTGGGGAACAGGTTACATCTGGCATTTAGACGTCAAATAAGCGAAGCTTGTGCGGAGCAGTATGCAGAGAAAAACAACATGGCGTTTTTTGAAGTCAGTCCACTTTGTGATTTTAATGTTACCGAGTCGTTTGCTGAACTGTCACGGCTTGCTCTGAAAAGAAATGGCATGAGTCGAGCGTTTGGATTAAATAAAGGTATTGCGATGGTTTATTTACCTTGGGTCAATAGCCTTGTAGGATAAACTAAAATGGACAAATGTATTTTCAGCATATGGATCAACATTCTGATCAAGGTAACAATTTTTAAACTTGCGTAATTTAAATATATAAAAATATGTAGAAGTTAATTAGATAGCTTCTCACTCTAGGTATATTTTATAACAACAGATGACTTGATTTGTATTCAAAATATTTTGCCAAGTTTGCTGCTGTCTTACAAATTAAAAATGTTTTAGGTTTCTAACTCAGGGCTTTCTGCTTCCCAAATTTCTGCCCAACTGGGATGTTGTGTCCATTCCATCATGTTATGTTCACGTAGCATGGAACTAACCTCCCATCGCAAGGAACTACCCTCCCATAGCATGGAAATACTCTGCCATAGCATGAAACTACTCTCCCATAGCATGAAACTATACTCCCATAGCATGGAACTACTCTCCTGCCGCATGAAACTTCTCTACCGTAGCATGGAACTACTCACTCATAGCATGGAACTTCTCCCCCATAGCATGGAACTACTCTTCTGCTGCATGGAACTAATCTCCCATAGCATAAAAATACTCTCTTGTAGCATGGAACTACCCTCCTGTAGCAATGAACTACTCTCCCTTAGAATGAAACTACGCTCCCATAGCATGGAACTACTCTGCCATAGCATGGAACTACTCTCCTGTAGCAATGAACTACTCTCCCTTAGAATGAAACTACGCTCCCATAGCATGGAACTACTCTGCCATAGCATGGAACTACTCTCCTGTAGCAATGAACTACTCTCCCTTAGAATGAAACTACGCTCCCATAGCATGGAACTACTCTGCCATAGCATGGAACTACTCTCCTGTAGCAATGAACTACTCTCCCAAAGAAGGAACTACTCTCCCATATCATGGCACTACCTGGAGAAATCAAAACCTGCTATTCTTTAGTTGGGGGCAGAAAATTTACCAATAATTTCCTGAAATAAAAAAAAGACTTTACAACGTCAAATCTACGAATTTTAGTTTGTGTTAAAAAATTGAGGACATGGACATGAATAGAAGGTTCAAAGAATATTGTTGATGTTTGTAAGGGGAAAATATCATTTATGTTTTCAAATGGGATTAATGGGTTATTCTGTTATTAGGAAACCAAATTGAGTCTTACTGTAAATACCTTAATAACTCTTTTTATCAATGCAAGTGCTTACATTTTTATACAACTTGTAATGGGTACCCTTTTCAATTTCAGTGCTGAGTCTCCAGGAGCTGGCTTGCAGAACAGTTGTGTCTTGTACCACTATCTATGGCATTGAACAGTTGCCTTTACCCAACAGTATCAAATCCCACTTGAAGTCATATGCGCTCACAAACAAGACCCGTGCACGCATGCTGAGTTTTGTCCACAGGGACAAGCACAAGAAGGTCAAGTATCTCAACCCGTGCGAGTCCCCGCCAATGAACTGCCGCAAGAGTTGCATCATCACCTAGTGAAACCGTACTCGGCTGTCGTTTCGCTGTGGTTGTTGGCCTGTATAAATCCCGTTGTATATAATCGTGAATGATTAAGAGAGACTTCATCAAATCAGGGTTCATGCCCCTGTCTCTCTTTTGCCATCAATTCAGTGATGAAGATAGATCCTTTATTGGAACTTTACAAAAATAGTGACCAGATGAAGTGGATGGATACAATTCTTCTCCACAGAATAAATGAAGCTCTAAGACAGGTCCACACAAAGTGGTGGTCGACAAACCAGCTTTGGTTAGCAAGTCCTTAGTCACTGGTCAAGCTGGCTGGAACATTTAAGAAATAAAATGACAATACATAATATATCATTTGGGCACCAGTCCCTGCTGGAATGTGGATATTTGCTGCCTGTTCTTCACACTGCAACATTTGGGAAGCACTGACCTATTACACCGAAGGGGATTGCCAGATTCTGAAATCTCATGGTTCCCTACATCTAAAGCTCTATCATTTTTGTGTTTATTTCTGTAGTTGCCATGGAGCACAGAATATTCATCCTTGCCAGTGTCTAAATTCTAATTGAAATATTAAAACATTGTTAACTGTGGGTAGGCACTCTAGCAGCCTTGTGTTGACACAGTTTAGAGAAAAATTTCCGTCTCATCAAATTGGTCAGAGAATATAGCATTGCGTTATATTAGGTTGACCCAAAAGTTGTGTGCGACATCATATTTACCTTGACCTGTTATGTGAAATTAGATTTAAGCATTCATCAAAATGGTGGTAAATTTTATCTTTAAACATCCATCCAAGGATGCTTTGTTTGCTCTCATAGCTTAATGTTAGAAACATCTAGCCACCCACCACTTGGTTTCCCAAATGTCTGAAAACTCTCCACCAATCTCATTACTATGATGGTTAATTCGAACTAATTAATTATTGATCATATTATGTATTTTTTGGGCAGATGTAAATACACTAATGACCTATACAAGATGCTGTTAATTTTTTGGCATATTTTCAATAGTTTTTGTGATCATCACATTGAATTTGTATCTGTCATTCATTACTGTAAATAGGTGTATCAACAATGTCTGAACAATTATATCAACTAATCAAAGTCATCCATTCTCTACATGTGTGGCATGTTTATTGCAAGATTTTCCTACAAAGAATAGAACTCAATTTAGAAAATGCTTTCAAGTTAACAAGTCCACATAGACTTATTGAAAGCTAAGTGACATAAAATTATTTATAGTCCATTCTAATAATAATAATTTATGTGGGTGCTGTTACCCACAGGCCCATTAATAATATTTGCATTGGTTGGTAAAGCATTATAGTAATAATGGAATTGCTAGGGTCGCCAGATAAAAAAAGTTAAAAAAACTGCTGAACAGGATTCCTGCATTTCTTTCTTTAATTCTCCATCAGCTGTCTTTATTAACCAAGGTAAAAAACAACAAATTCAAATTAAATTATGACATGATTAAAAAAAATCTCAAATCTATGGTGTTGTGAAACCTAAGTAAGCTTATTAATACAAAGTTTTTGGTTTGATGCAATTTATTTATTTATATATCTGTTGGAACCAGTGATTTTCCAATAAAATTTTACTCGTAACTTTAAAATAGGTTAACTTTTTATTATGTTTACATGACTAGAAGTGCAATAAGATAAGATTTGATAGAACATTCTAAAGAATTTTTCCGGTAACGAACATTAACTATCAATGCTTTCAAATTCAAGCTATTCTCTAAAGTCACATTGCCATCAGTTTAAAGGCAAGCCATCAAGTTGAACAGATAGCATGCATAGTTAGGCACAGTATTAGCCACTGATCAAATCTTAATCATGATATAAGAGTGTCTTCACTAATTTTCAATGATCAGTTCCCCTCTTCATTTGTCTAAATAACTTAGTACTTAAAAAAAAAGGTTTTGACTCAACTACCGGTAGTTTTATTGATGTAAAAGTTGGCATGCATCATATAGAAATTATATCCTTCATAGAACTAATATAGAAATATTGGGGAAACTAAAATGCATTTAATACAATTGAAAGTATTGATTTGATTTTTTTTTATGCCGAGATTATTTCCAGGTCTTCTGTTAGTAGAGATCCATATGTTTTATAACCATCTTATTGATAAACTGTTGGGTTTGAATGGGCATGAGACTGGAATACATTATTTATAATTTTGTAAACAGATAATACATACAAAGGTTTAAAAAAGTAATAGTTGAGTAACTTGTTGACTTGAGAATAATTGAAAGTTATCTTCAATCAGTTCTAAATGTTGTGTCGTAGAAATGACCTGCGTGGATTTGTATAAGACATTGCATCTGCTGATTGTGGATCTTGTTATAAAAGTAATGGTATATGTCGCTAGTCTTCCATTTTGAGTTGAAAATCTGTGGCTAGCTTTTTGGATGTCATTACTTCACGCAGTTATTTTAGCTTTCGTTCTCGTTGCCCTTTTAATTCTGAATATAGGTTAAAAGCATTTCAACTAATTATTTGAGCTCATTATCTTGCAGGTTTCCCTGCTTTTGTTTGTTGGGGGTCTCTAATGTAGTTAGATACAAGTACAAAAATGGTTTATATTAATGAGGATTTGTTTCTAAAAGTTTTATTTTTCTATCAAAGACAGCTGTACAATAAATTTATGAAGGAACATACACACGCACGGACAATTGGTAAATAAAGTTTTGACCAAGATTGTCATGGAAGGCCGTCTCATCTGACTGCACATTTATCAAGTATTAAATATGATTATTTTCTTGGATGTCTGTATATGTTTAGATGACCTAATTAAAGGATATAAGTAAACATTAAACACTGGTCACACTTAGTCTTGGGGGTCTCCTTAGTATTAGCAGGGATTCTCAAATAACTCCTTCCACCCCAACCCAAATTTAAATTTATTCATTTATTTCTATTCTTATTTTCTGATGTCATGGTGACCAATGGTTTGAATGTGTCAGTTTTTTAAAGAAATTAAATGTCTTCTTCTATATCTTAAGGGCCCACGATCAATTTATTGATCATTTTGGCTCCTATGCATGTAGATGGGATTTGCAATGTTTCTGTTACTGGTGGTGATGAGGAAATTATGCACTAGGGGTTTGAAGGCT